CCCGGGTTCACACCATTCTCCTACCTCAGCCTCCCGAGTAGCTGGGACTACAGGCGCCCGCCACTGCGCCCGGCTAATTTTTTCCTATTTTTTAGTAGAGACGGGGTTTCACCATGGTCTCGATCTGCTGACCTTGTGATCCGCCCGCCTCGGCCTCCCAAAGTGCTGGGATTACAGGCGTGAGCCACCGCGCCCGGCCGATTCTGGAGGTATTTAAAATGCATGAGGTTGGTTTATCATGACTTTAGAAACATATTCATCTGAGCTGAACCAACAGTAAAGGCCGGGGTTGCACTTACTGTGGCAATATTTACAACACAATATTCTGACCTGAACTCTCTGTAGCATTTCCCTAAGGAAAATATGAGGAGCCTAACAACGATGATGAAATAGGCAACTGTTTAACAAATATGCTCGCACTTCAGAAACACTGAAGGATGTGCAATGAAATTTGTCTCTGAATTTAGATGATGAAAGTCACTGTCTTCAGTTGAAATCTACATGATACTTTTTTGTTGTCTTTTTTTTTTTTTTTTTGAGACGAAGTCTCGCTCTGTCGCCCAAGCTGGAGGGCAGTGGTGCGATCTTGGCTCACTGCAAGCTCCGCCTCCTGGGTTCACGCCATTCTCCTGCCTCAGTCTCCCCAGCAGCTGGGACTACAGGTGCCCGCCACCACGCCTAGCAAATTTTTTGTATTTTTAGTAGAGATGGGGTTTCACAGTGTTAGCCAGGATGGTCTTGATCTCCTGACCTCTTGATCTACCCGCCTCGGCCTCCCAAAGTGCTGGGATTACAGGCGTGAGCCACTGCCCCCAGTCTTTTTTTTTTTTGTCTTATATAATGCTGGTGGTGAAAATTTCTTCTACAATTCAAGTAAAATATAATCAAGGCATTTTATGCATAAAATCAATGAGAGAATAATTCTTTGGAAGCGACACGCATGTGCTCACATAGCATAAACATTATTGTCATCACCAAATAAAACATAGTCTTCATTTGAACATTTTTAGGTTCATTTTTTATATTTAAATCAAAGTAACTGAAAAGTAAAATTACAGACAAATTTATAAATTGATGATCTTTCCACTTAAATATTTTAAATGAGAGTTTTTTTAAAAAACATTAGGCTATCAGGCCAGGAGCAGTGGGGTCATACCCATAATCCCAGCACTTTGGGAGGCCGAGGTGGGCAGATCACTTGAGGTCAGGAGTTTGAGAACAACCTGGCTAACATGGTGAAACCCCATCTCTACTAAAAATACAAAAATTAGCCTGGCATGGTGGTGCACACCTATAGTCTCAGCTACCTGGGAGGCTGAGGAATGAGAATTGCCTGAACCCAGGAGGTGGTAGCTGCAGTGAACTGAGATCATGCCACTGCACTCCAACTTGGGCAACAGAGTGAGATTCTGTCTCAAAAAAAAAAAAAAAAGCCAGGCACAGTGGCTCACCAGCATTTTGGGAGGCTGAGGCGGGCGAGATCACGAGGTCAGGAGATCGAGATTGCCTGGCTAACACGATGAAACCCCGTCTCTACTAAAAAAATACAAAAAAATTAGCCTGGCATGGTGGCGGGCGCCTGTAGTCCCAGCTACTCCTGAGGCTGAGGCAGGAGAATGGCGTGAACCTGGGAGGCGGAGCTTGCAGTGAGCCGGGATTGCGCCACTGCACTCCAGCCTGGGTGACAGAGTGAGACTCTGTCTCAACACCACCACCACCACCACCACCAGCAACAACAACAAGAGTCAGGTTATCAGTACTACAACTTATAGATCAACAAGATCATTTTTCACAAACATCAGCATATTGATGAGTTTCATTCATTTCTAACATGGTGAAACCCCATCTCTACAAAAAATACAAAAAATTAGCCTGGCATGGTGGCGGGCGCCTGTAGTCCCAGCTACTCCTGAGGCTGAGGCAGGAGAATGGCGTGAACCTGGGAGGCGGAGCTTGCAGTGAGCCGAGATTGCGCCACTGCACTCCAGCCTGGGTGACAGAGTGAGACTCTGTCTCAACACCACCACCACCACCACCACCAACAACAACAACAAGAAGTCAGGTTATCAGTACTACAACTTATAGATCAACAAGATCATTTTCACAAACATCAGCATATTGACTGATGATTTCATTCATTTTATCAACTGGATTTCCATTAAGAGAATCATGACCTTTTCTTCTTTTTCCTCCCTCTCATTTCTTTTATTTTGTGACTACTTCTCGACTTTCCCAAACAGTGTAAAAAAGAAGTCAAAGTAGCCATACTTTGAAGCTTGGGAAAGGCTCTAGAAAATGGTGACTCATTGTAATATAAAAATCCTTGCACAGGCTGCAAGACAGTGAGGCCCAATTACTCATAATAACCTCGTCAGCCTTGAGCTCCATAATCACGTGTGGCTTCCCTAAGTTGCATGTTTACTTGCTATTACTGTGTCCTTCAATTCCTCTAATTGCAATTGCAGAAATATAAGAGGATTGTTGTAACTGGCAGCTCCGTGTAAAAACACTACATGGGATTATATTACTACAAACATAGTCTTTAAATATAATGTGATTATTTCATGTTTCAAGTTTACACTTTGTGAATGCAAAAAATTTCTTTCGGTGACAGCTTGATTAATAATTTAGTTCAAAACTAAACACGAATTTTCGGGTACTCATGAATATTTAAACGCATTTTTAAAAAGCTGTAAGGTTGTGCAACAGATGTAGCATCTATACCTGGAGGCAGGTGTCAAACTTTAAAAGTTCTAAATTACTCATACACCTGGGAACGTGCCTAAATCTGTCATTCGTGATCATTGGTAGATACAGATCACTTTACATTTATTATGCACTAGAGGCATATTTTTAAAAAGTGGTACCCATTAATTCCCTGATGAAGAAACAGGGCAACTTGCTATCCCCCCAGGGTGTGGACTCAGAAACCCCAAGTCCTGCCCCCAATGATTTGGTGAGGGAACATTCCGAGGGATCAAAAAATTCTTGACCAAGAAATGTGGGCAGCAGCTGGGTGCGGTGACTCACGCCTGTAATCCCAGCACTTTGGGAGGCCGAGGCGGGTGGATCAGGAGGTCAGGAGATCGAGACCATCCTGGCTAACACGATGAAACCCCATCTCTACTAAAAATAAAGAAAATGAGCCGGGCATAGCAGCAGGCGCCTGTAGCCCCAGCTACTCAGAGGCCGAGATAGGAGAATGGCGTGAACCCGGGAGGCGGAGCTTGCAGTGAGCAGAGACCTTGTGCCACCGCCCTCTAGCCTGGGCGACAGAGCGAGACTCCGTCTCAAAAAAAAAGAAAAAAAGAAATGTGGACAGCCATGTTTGGGGCAGAGCTTGGTACTTAGTTGGCTGTGTGCTTTTGAATAAGTCCTTCAAATTTTATGAGTCTGAGTTTCTGGTTCCATAAAATGAAATGGCTGGATCAGTCACTAAATAATCTGTGGAGTTCTAAAATGTTCAGAGGCCATACTAGCAACTGATTGCTTGTGTTGATCTAAGTCCTGTTTTTCAGGTTGTTTGGTTGGAACAGATCAAATGAGTTCTTTCTGCTATATACATGACACCAAAATGACAATAAAGATGCTTTTGAGCCGAGTGTGGTGACTCACGCCTATAATCACAACCTTTTGGGAGTCCGAGACTAGAGGATGGCTTGCCTCAGGAGTTCCAGACCAGCCTGGGCAACATATGGAGATTCTGTCTCTACAAAAGATTTAAAAATTAGCCAGCTGTGGTGGCATGTGCCTGTAGTCCCAGCTACTTGGAAGGCAGAGGTGGGAGGATCATTTGGGCCCAGAAGGTCGAGGCTGCACTGAGCCATGATCATGCCACTGAGGTCCAGCCTGGGTGACAGACCAAGATCGTGTCTTCAAAAAAGGAGAGATGAGGCTGGGCACGGTGGCTCACACCTGTAATCCCAGCACTCTGGGAGGTCTAGGCAGGTAGATCACCTGAGGTCAGGAGTTTGAGACCAGCCTGACCCACATGGTAAAACCCCATATTTGCTAAAAGTACAAAAAAATTAGCTGGGCCTGGTGAGTGCCTGTAATCCCAGTTACTTGGGAGGCTGAGGCAGGAGAATTGCTTGAACCCAGGAGGTGGAGGTTGCAGTGAACCGAGATCGTGCCATTGCACTCCAGCCTGGGCAACAAGACTGTCTCAAAAAAAAAAAAAAAAAAAAAAAAAGAGAGAGAGAGACAGAGACAGAATGGCACTTTGTTTCTAACAGAGCTTTCCAGTCCCATCAATAGCAGGAGTCCATTTTAGCTTAATTTTTGGAGGATATTCAACTGGGCGCCTGGAGAAGTATTGTCTGGACAGTAAGATCTTTGGGAAAGGACAACTATTTAAGAAATGAATGGAAAGTGAGGATGCTTCTCAGTCTCTTTCTTGTGGAAAATAATACAGAGTCCACTGCTTTTATTCTAACTTGTTATGTGTAAATAATGACCCAGGGGGCTCATTACCTAAAATGTCCACAGGGGCTGTTTTATGGAGGAAAGAACACGTGAGAGGGGTGGGAAAATTACCAATATCAAGTACTGCCTTCAACTCTTCGCCCTCGATCAGGTCTCTCCACCACTTTACAGACCTTGGTTTCCCTAACTCTTAGATAACATGGTGAACTGAATCATTTCTAATGTTCTTTCCAGATCTGCCAGCATCCAACAATCTGTGGGGGAGAAGTTTCTCCTCATTTTTATAAGCTATACCTTGCAAATGAATTGTAAAAAACCAGATAGTGAAATAAGCCTACCAATCAGGATAATGAATCTGCTTTCTTCACTAGCATATAGAGGAATCAGAATTTGGTATAAACTCTGTAAACAATATGATGGACCAAAAAAAAAAAAAAAAAAAAAAACCCACACACACTCTAAGTGCAATGAGTGGGTAAAAACAAACAAACTCAAAACAAAAAAAACTTTAATGCAATATTGCGGGCAAAATATATTCACAACTTACCTTACATCATTTAATTCATAATAAACATTTCTGCTTTCATCTTTGATGTAAATGGCAACACTGGGCGATTCAGCATTTTCATGGTGAGCTGCTGTGGGAAGGCACTTACGAAGAAGCACGAGATTGTGTCTGCACTTGTGATCTCGTTCAGCATCCTGAGCTGCTTGGTTTCGTCTCCCATACTGGAGGTAGAGAACCCTGCACACCAGAGCCAGAAACAGTTATTAGTCTGGAATTCAGAGACTAAGGATACAGCACAAGCTGCACCACTTCTTTCCTGCTGCCTGGGAACATTCAGGACAAGCTTGGCAAGCATGTAACCAGAGATCTAGTTTGGAATTTCCAAGGAATGCACTGTTTGGTTTATTGCGAAAGTACCCACCTTCATTCTTTGAAGTCAAGAAGGTAAAGAGCCTAATTTACCTTCCTTTAAATTCAAGAGGCTGGGTGCAATGGCTTATGTCTGTAATCCCAGTGTTTTGGGAGGCCATGGCAAGAGAGGATCACTTGAGGCCAGGAGTTGAGACTCACCTGGGCAATATAGCGGGATCCCCATCTCTTTGGGGAAAAAAAAAAAAATAGCTGGGTGTGGTAGCACATGCCTGTAGTCCCAGCTACTCAGGAGGCTGTGGTGGGAAGACCTTGAGCCTAGCAGCTGGAAGCTTCAGTGAGCTGCGATTGCACCACTGCACTCCAGCCCTAAGTAATAGAGTGAGACTCTTTGGCTCAAAAACCAACAAACATGCAAGAAGCACACCTCTGATAGCCTAAAGCAAAAGACAATACTTGGCCAGGCGTGGTGACTCACGCCTGTAATCCCAGCACTTTGGGAGGCTGAGGCAGGGCGAATCACTTGGAGTCAAGAGTTTGAGACCAGCCTGGCCAACATGGTGAAACCCCATCTCTACTAAAAATACAAAAATTAGCCAGGTGTGATGGCACACACCTGTAATCCCAGCTACTCACGAGGCTAAGGCAAGAGAATTGTTTGAACCTGGGAGGCTGCAGTGAGCTGAGATCACGCCACCGCACTCCAGTCAAAAAAAAAAAGTAGAGTTATTAAGACAGTACTTAATTCCCTGGAAAGGTATATTTAGAAATCTGACCTCATAGAGTGATTTTTTTTTTCATGTCTTTCATTAACTAGGAACACAATCATTATAGCCATGGAGTAAGCTGCAGCTGAAATCTTTCTAGTCCATTCAGAAACATTTTCAGTGGAAATGCAACAAGATTTCTGTGGTTCTAATACATATCTATTGAATGTTTATATCGTGCTAAACTGTCTATAAGAAAATAATCCAGCACCTCAATGTTTCAGGAATAAAATGGAAAAAGCACAGGATCCCAAGAGTTCCCAGAGTATGTGACCCCCAGCACACCCTGCCTCCCAGCACTCACCTCCTGTGAAACAGTTCTGTTGCATGTTGATTCTGAGCTTGGTTGTGTGACTTGCTTTGGCTAATGGGATATTAGCAAGTGTGAAGCAAAAGGAAAGCTTGATATGTGTTTGCACCCTGGAGTGTGTCCTCTTGATGAGCGTGCTTTGGGGATGTTTCCTTTCAGAACTTAGCTCTAAGGAGTCAACCAAGCCACAGGGGGAAGTCATGCTGAAGAACCACCCCATCTAAGCGTGGATTTTACAGCTGGAACCACTGAGGTTATGTGGATAAGTCATCTTGGGAGTGGACTCCCCAGTCCCAGGTGAGCTACCCTAGCTGATGCCAGCACAAATGAGGATGGCCCCTCCAAGCACTGTCAAATTGCAGAATCATAACAAATAAATGACCGTCATGTAGTCACTATGCTTAGGGTGATTTGTTATTCAGAAACAGATAACTGAAACAGGGTATCTATAATCCTGACACTGAATTTGAGTCTTGCTTTTTGTGAGAATCTACAGGGTGAACTACCACTGGAGTAAACTTTGGCAAGAGAGACTCAAAGAAAGAATGACTTCGGTTCAATATGGCAGCCCATGTAATACATTTGTCTCTGCTTCCTCCAGAAATTCCATTAAAGTGACAATAAAGGGATACAAGCATACATCAGAGAAGTAAGGGAATGAGAGAGGAAGTAACAGTAGACAAGAGCAAGCTGACACCTAAACCTTCAAGGAATAACTCAACATAAAACACGCAGAGCCAGAAACTCAGGAAATGAGGCTCCCGACCATTCTGAAGAGTAGAAATACCAGAGTGAGTTGAATGCATGATGCCTGACTGAACTTGATTTTAAAAGTAAGGTATAGCACAAAGGTCCCGGCCTTCCAGGCCAACAAACCAGTACCAGTCCTTGGCTTGTTGGAACCGGGCCACATAGCAGGAAGTGGCCATGGTTAAGTGAGGAATGCGTCATCTGTATTTATAGCCACTCCCCATTGCTCGAATTAACTGCCTGAGCTCCGCCTCCTGTCAGATCAGTGGCAGCCTTAAGATTCTCACTTAAGAGTGTGAACCCTATTGTGAACTGCGCATGAAGTGAGGATCTAGGTTGCAAGCTCCTTAAGAGAATCCCATGCCTGATGATCTGTCACTGTCACTCATCACCTCCAGATGGGACCCCGGCTAGTTGCAGGAAAACAAGCTCCAGGAGCTTCACTGATTGCTACATTATGGCGAGTTGTATAATTATTTCATTATATATTACAATGCAATAATAATAGAAATAAAGTGCATACTAAATGTAATGCATTTGAATCATCTGAAACCATCTCCCCGACCCTGTCCATGGAAAAGAGTTCTTCCCACAAAACCAGTCCCTGGTGCCAAAAGAGGCTGGGGACCACTGGTCAGCAGCTAATGTCCATCTCTCTTCCCACCCTACTCAGCCAAGTAGCCACCATCGCATCCACAGAAGATGGAAGAGCCCACACCAAACACACTGGATTCTGGCTGACCGGGTGTAGGGGAAGGGCTGATGTGTCCTCGACTGAATGCGGGAGCAAAGGGCAGCACCTTAGTCAGGACACTGGAGGGTCCCCCTCTAGAAATACCGAATGACCCATGAGAAGAAACAAACTTGTGTGTATGTAGAGACTGAGTCTTGCCTTGCTGTGTCGCCCACAGGCTGGAGTGCAGTGACATGATCAGGGCTCACTGCAGCCCCAACCTTATGAATTCAAGCTATCCTCCTCCTCAGCCCCCTAGTGCCTGGGACCATAGGAGGGCACCACTACATCCAAGCTAATTTTTTGTATTTTTTTTTAGTGATGGGGTTTGCCATGTTACTTAGGCTGGTCTTGAACTCCTGAGCTCAAGTGACCTGACCATCTCAGACACCCAAAGTGCTGGGATGACAGGCATGAGCCACCATGCCTGGCCTGACAAACAGATTTTCGAGGGTCATATTCAGGTTCTATCTGGTCACCCCATAGTGAAGTAGCCAAACCCACGTATAAAAACTTCCGAAGCCAATAGCTGTACCTCCCTCTTACATTAACAGACTCCCAAGATCCTACAAACATTTTTATAAAAGCACAACACAAGTGAAAACACCCAAAGGAAACAGGAAAAACTCCAGAGAGATCAGACAGTCCAGAAAAAGGTGGAGCATCTGGAGGATAAGACCAGTCTCTGGGAACCATGAGAGCAGAATTTAAAAATTCAGTGAAGAAGAAAAGTTGATGCAATCTCAGAAAGTGGAAGCCCCGACCCCCAAAAAAGAGGCAGAGATGGGAGGAGAAAGAGAGAGAGAGAGCAATGCTGACTTACAGAATTATGTCAGAGCACCCAGATCCCCAGCAATAGAGATTTAGGCCAAAAGAAATCAGAAAAAACAGAGTTTTCCAAAACAATGTTGGAAAAAGAATGTTCTTTTTCCCGTAGAATGAAGGACATGAGATCGCAGATTGTAAAAGTTCATGAAATACTCAACACACAGGTTTGTCACTGAGACATTCCAGAAGACAGGAGGAAAACAGACAATCTAAAAGCCCCCAGTACAGGTAAAAAGTCACATAGGAAGGATCAGGTATCAGAAAGGCAATAGCTTTCTCGCTTGAACTTCAGAAACCAAAAGATAATGGAGCAATGCCTTTGAAAACCTGGAGGGAAATATTTTCGATCTAGGTCTATCTCTATCCAAACCATCAGTCAGGTCTCCATTAAAGCTGTTTTCTCTTGCCTGGCCCCCTCGGCTAGAATTTTAGTACCCATTCTCCGTACCATTTCATACTTTTTATACTTGTTGTATGTCTGTTTTCTTAGCATTTTCTGCTCTATGTTATAATTCATATTTTAATTATCTCTAAAGAGATGGGGTCTTGCTCTGTCACCCAGGCTGGAGTGCAGTGGTATGAGCATAGCTCACCGCAGCCTCAAACTTCTGGCTTCAGAGTAGCTGAGGCTAAAGGGATTTTTTTTTTTTTTTTTAAGTTTTTGTTGTTTGCTACTGTATCCTTAGGTACCTGTAAGGACTACATATTTACATAGTAGTTTCTCAATAAATATTTGCTGAATGAATAAATGAATGATTTTATCAGTCATTGAAAGGAATGTCTCATTTGCGGGTCTATCGAACTATAAGAGCCTTTGCTAGATGATGTAACCAGCCTAGTGACCTCGCCCTTGGTTTATCCGCAGTAGAAACACATTCTGAAGTGGCTGTTTCCTTGACTAAAACCCAGTCCTTTCATGTCCAGGCATAAGAGCTCATGTCCCCTCTCCAATCATCCCTGTGTTGACCCTCCAGCTTTTTCCAGGGAACTAGTTTTCCAGAATCTCCATGCTGTTACACATTCCTCAGAATGCAGAGAACACCTTTCAAGCCTGTCTGATCACAGATCACGCAATATCTTGGCCCCAAGTGGGAGGTGTAGTGATTGTCCATGTGATTGCTATGCTACATCAAAAGGCCAAAACCACTCTTGAGGTCCATGCCCCAGTCATGTCTGGGCGAGGCCACTGCAGAAAGGCCACTAATGGCCTCCCTACAGTTAAGTATCGCAGCCTGCTCCCCAAGATGGTCTGATTTTCATTCCACATCTGCATTCTGTACATGCATATGCTTGAAATAAATTTGTAGGCTCTGGAGTAGGAAAAAAAAAAAAAAACCAACACAGGCCTAAACTATAGTTACCTCAGGGTCTGGCTGGTGCAGCTGCCAGCTGGGTGCATGAGTCCAGTCACAGAGACGTGACAAGCCAGGAGGATGGAAAAAACGCCTTTGCAAACAGAATAGT